GGATAAGTCATATGCCACCCTGGTGATACTGAAAATAACAGAGTGCCCTGAAGAATCGGAGGGTACACAGATTTCCCCTAATTACACAATGGAATTAGTCATATCTTGTACCCTCAAAACACTGAAGGGTAACTCGTGCTATCGTTCCCGATGACACTGAAGGAAAAGTCATGTCTCCAAAAACTCGGAAGGACAAGAGAAGGACCTTCTCTAACATAATTAAAGGGTAAATTCTATCGATTCCTGAAGGGATGATAAGATAACACTATGTTTATTTTATATTGTACCCAGAAGGCACTGAAAGATAGCAAAGTCCTATAGTTGCCTGGTGAATCTTGAGGATAAGAGCCACCTATAGATCATCGATGGCACTGTGGGATAAATCTGAAGGAAAACATCGTTCCACAGGCCCGAATACCCTGAAGAATATTATCGTCCTAATGTTCCCTGATTGTCCTACAAGTTCCGTCCTTTTGTTCACCGTTTGTCCTATAGGATACATCCTTTTGTTCCCTGATTGTCCTTCAGGATACGTCCTACCGTCAAATAACTGCCTACAATATACATCCTATTGTTCCCTGATTGTCCTTCAGGATACGTCCTACCGTCAAATAACTGCCTACAATATACATTCTTTTGTTTCCTGATTGTCCTTCAGGATACGTCCTACCGTCAAATAACTGCCTACAATATACATCCTTTTGTTTCCTGATTGTCCTTCAGGATACGTCCTACTGTCAAATAACTGCCTACAATATATATCCTATTGTTCCTTGATTGTTCTTCAGGATACCGTCCTACCGTCAAATAACTGCCTACAATATATATCCTATTGTTCCCTGATTGTCCTTCAGGATACGTCCTACTGTCAAATAACTGCCTACAATATATATCCTATTGTTCCCTGATTGTCCTTCAGGATACCGTCCTACCGTCAAATAACTGCCTACAATATATATCCTATTGTTCCTTGATTGTTCTTCAGGATACGTCCTACCGTCAAATAACTGCCTACAATATATATCCTTTTGTTCCCTGATTGTCCTTCAGGATACGTCCTACCGTCAAATAACTGCCTACAATATACATCCTATTGTTCCCTGATTGTCCTTCAGGATACCGTCCTACCGTCAAATAACTGCCTACAATATACATTCTTTTGTTTCCTGATTGTCCTTCAGGATACGTCCTACCGTCAAATAACTGCCTACAATATATATCCTATTGTTCCCTGATTGTCCTTCAGGATACGTTCTACCGTCAAATAACTGCCTACAATATATATCCTATTGTTCCCTGATTGTCCTTCAGGATACGTCCTACCGTCAAATAACTGCCTACAATATACATCCTATTGTTCCCTGATTGTCCTTCAGGATACGTCCTACCGTCAAATAACTGCCTACAATATATATCCTATTGTTCCTTGATTGTTCTTCAGGATACGTCCTACCGTCAAATAACTGCCTAGAATATATATCCTTTTGTTCCCTGATTGTCCTTCAGGATACGTCCTACCGTCAAATAACTGCCTACAATATACATCCTATTGTTCCCTGATTGTCCTTCAGGATACGTCCTACCGTCAAATAACTGCCTACAATATACATTCTTTTGTTTCCTGATTGTCCTTCAGGATACGTCCTACCGTCAAATAACTGCCTACAATATATATCCTATTGTTCCCTGATTGTTCTTCAGGATACGTTCTACCGTCAAATAACTGCCTACAATATATATCCTATTGTTCCCTGATTGTCCTTCAGGATACGTCCTACCGTCAAATAACTGCCTACAATATACATCCTTTTGTTTCCCGATTGTCCTTCAGGATACGTCCTACTGTCAAATAACTGCCGTCAATATAAATCCTTTTGTTCCCTGATTGTCCTTAAGGTTACGTCCTACCGTCAAATAACTGCCTACAATATACATCCTTTTGTTTCCTGATTGTCCTTCAGGATACGTCCTACTGTCAAATAACTGCCGTCAATATACATCCTTTTGTTCCCTGATTGTCCTTCAGGATACGTCCTACCGTCAAATAACTGCCTACAACATACATCCTTTTGTTTCCTGATTGTCCTTCAGGATACGTCCTACTGTCAAATAACTGCCTACAATATACATCTTTTTGTTTCCTGATTGTCCTTCAGGATACGTCCTACCGTCAAATAACTGCCTACAATATAAATCCTTTTGTTCCCTGATTGTCCTTCAGGATACGTTCTACTGTCAAATAACTGCCTACAATATACATCCTTTTGTTTCCTGATTGTCCTTCAGGATACGTCCTACCGTCAAATAACTGCCGTCAATATAAATCCTTTTGTTCCCTGATTGTCCTTCAGGATACGTCCTACCGTCAAATAACTGCCTACAATATACATCCTTTTGTTTCCCGATTGTCCTTCAGGATACGTCCTACCGTCAAGTAACTGCCTACAATATATATCCTATTGTTCCCTGATTGTTCTTCAGGATACGTCCTTCTGTCAAATAACTGCCTACAATATATATCCTATTGTTCCCTGATTGTCCTTCAGGATACGTCCTACTGTCAAATAACTGCCTACAATATACATCCTATTGTTCCCTGATCGTCCTTCAGGATACGTCCTACCGTCAAATAACTGCCTACAATATACATCCTTTTGTTTCCTGATTGTCCTTCAGGATACGTCCTACCGTCAAATAACTGCCTACAATATATATCCTATTGTTCCCTGATTGTCCTTCAGGATACGTCCTACCGTCAAATAACTGCCTACAATATACATCCTATTGTTCCCTTATTGTCCTTCAGGATACGTCCTACCGTCAAATAACTGGCTACAATATACATCCTTTTGTTTCCTGATTGTCCTTCAGGATACGTCCTACTGTCAAATAACTGCCTACAATATACATCCTTTTGTTTCCTGATTGTCCTTCAGGATACGTCCTACTGTCAAATAACTGCCTACAATATACATCCTTTTGTTCCCTGATTGTCCTTCAGGATACGTTCTACCGTCAAATAACTGCCTACAATATACATCCTTTTGTTTCCTGATTGTCCTTCAGGATACGTCCTACTGTCAAATAACTGCCTACAATATACATACTTTTGTTTCCTGATTGTCCTTCAGGATACGTCCTACTGTCAAATAACTGCCTACAATATACATACTTTTGTTCCCTGATTGTCCTTCAGGATACGCCCTACTGTCAAAAAACTGCCTACAATATACATCCTATTGTTCCCTGATTGTCCTTCAGGATACGTCCTATTATTCCCTGATTGTCCGACAGGATACATTCTGTTGTTCCTTGATTGACCTACAGAATACCTCCCACTGTTCCATGATTGTCCTACAAGATACGTTACGGTACTATTGTTCCCTGAAAGATAAAAAGCCCAACCTTCCCCTAATTACGCCGAAGGATAGAACACTTTCTTCCTCCAGTGACACCGTGGGATATTAATAAACGATGGAAACAACTAAAATTAGGCTGGCGAAATCCAAGACAGTGGAGGTGCACCAAAACTGTAAAAGATGTGCATAGGCACTGGGAATCGACAACAGCGAGACCAGATGTGTTGCATACCGAGTCACTGCTCAGCAAAACAAAACCTGAACCGTTTCCACCTACAATACTATGTGACACTCGATAACACATACACGTTACCGCTGCAGCGCAAGAGAAAATAGTTGATAACATCAGAAGATGCTGCACTCTTCCTCAGAAGCTCGGTCCTCGTATATAGGTACATATAGACAGGAATGTACGTATGTTACTAGAGTATGTTTAGCAGTATCTCGGTAGTCCTCACACGTCATCTCTGATGGTCAGGAGGCCAGGTGTATCCCAACTTCCCAGTACACACTGACGGGTTGCTACATAAATGCAGAGAACCTACATTCACTGCGTAATTGTGTTATGTAATTTAACTATTTCCTGAAGGTATGTACAATTACAATTCGTACGGTTCATTGAAGGCTTGTGGTCATGTTTTTTTCCATTCACAAAGTCATTTTTCCATCCACAAAATCCGAGCATCTCTTCGTAGGAAATAGGACAAATGGGTCAGACAAGATTGCATTTTGCCAAGATGTCAGACTGATCAACCAGCGTCTACCTTCCATGTTAATTAACCTGATGATAACACTTCCATTTGAACTGAAATATCCTCCTGAACTGAAGTACCCCCATAAAACCAAGCAGATAATACGACCAGCAAGTGGTAGCTGTGATCTCAGGCTGTGTTAATACATGTATAATACGATTTATACGCCGCAGAGATTTATTGTCAGAAACCGGAAACCTTCGTAAGTCCTTCTTTGATATACGAGGTACAGATGTGAGACACATTACAAGACAAATATACACATCACCGTCTGCTTGGAATACCCACTGATGTTAACATATAACGCTGGCAATACTGTAGCAACACTGAAAGTGTAGGCCGCTATCAGTCTCTTTTATCGAGAACTGTATTCGATATATGTGTAAGAATGTGCGTGCGACTAAAGCCATATGTTTCCCCGCTCTGAGCAGACCTATCAATACCTGCCAGCCGACGGCTCTCTCCTCACTTGCATGACCTCTGACACGGATGCCACTGCGTTCATACATTGTTGCTGTCGGTTTTTTCAACATACAAAAGCTATGGCTGTGGTATATGTTAACAGAGTGAGCGTTTATTATGGCCCTTCTGACATACCTTTGGCCTGGAAGGCCAAAGAACGCCAACATTAACTATTAAAACATGAGATCATCGACACACCACCTCTGGTTGTACTGTCATATCAATGATAAGTCTTACAGAAGCGCTGTTTATTACCTGTATCAGTTTGGTCGAAGGATACTCAGAAACGTGATTGGATAAGCAATACCTGGCTTAAATACCGCTAAGTATAAGTCCCATTAACCAGACTAGCGGTTACTGTTGCAATGCCAGTTCCACGCTGCAACTTCAAATGGGTATATTATGAATAAAACAATATTTTACTCACCTCTCATTTTCATGGGTTCATTAAGATCAATGGTAATTTGACCTCTGACCACCTCCCCTGCATAGTAAACTCCTTTACAGTTGTCAAAGGTAATACTGAACTGCTTAAGTTTGCCCATGGTGAGTGCAGCGTTCCTCCTCTCATCACGCGCAGAGAGCACTGAGCCTGGTAGCAGAGATGCTCGCAAGCAGCATCCCTATGTGTTGTTGTCTACCTCCCGTACAAGGGTACTCTAGAAATAGTAGCCGCTCCACATCTCACTTCTCCCCCTCGGCACATCAGCAGGACCAGGTCCTCAAAATGTGTCCTGGTAGTTCTTGCAGGGGGAGATCACTCCCGTTACTTCTCTTACACATGACTGTTTATTATGTGAGATGTTAATGAGATGTATTCTTGTGAGAAGATAGTCAGGTATTAAATGAATTCATAAATTATCAGTTAAATGCAATTATTAATTTATTTACTTGACTGTGCTGTCCAGGAGTAATTCTCTCCAAAAATGATCTTATTTTGCTCGTGACCAAATTCATTTCCATTATTTTCATGACCCGGATTTTTTTCAATTTCTCCTTTGAACAAGAAAATAAACTTTCATCAAAATGCTCTTTTTTCAGCTTTACAGTAAAAGCAACCCATTTCCATCTGAAATGATTTTTGTCTATTTTTAATCCGGAATTTTGTTTGCATTGTTCGTTTTAACACGTTCGAAATCGACAAATATAAATCTCGTCCTGGAAAATATTGTTGGCATAGTTTGTATAAGAGGCAAAACATTTATTGAATTCTGGTTTAACCCCTTGGTTTACTGTTGTGACACGTTACTTGTCAATGTCTGTTATTCTGCGTCCCTACAGACGGGCAAAAGAAAGTATACCCCCAGTTTTGATGTAGGCTAAAAGGAATAAAGAAACGGTTAAATGAGAGAGTTAGTTTAAACGCTAGCTAGGATCCTAGTTGTGTTTTGGACATGTGCCGTGTTTTGTCAGCTCTGTAAAGGTTTGATACCCTAACTAACGTTTTGGTCAAATCTAATTTTAAGTGTATATTTCAGTTTATTTCTGCATATATACAGTATTATATATTAGTCCTCAATATGAATACTGTATTTCACGTGAGGACAAAATATTTACCTTTTGTGCTCATATAAATGTTTTATAACTCAATAGTACCTTAAATTATTGTCATAAATTTCCATGTATGTTCCACGAAACACGCTCGAACAACGTTTTGGAAAATGAATTGATGATTAATTTCTTTTCGTTCAGGGAAGCATAACAGTCAACATTACGATCACACTAATGGCAGGGTCAGAGCAAAGATTGAGATATGAAACACAACTGCTTATGTTGTAAGAGGTAACCAGCCTCGGGGGAAGGTGTTGATGGGTGTAACACTCCCAACTATAAACCACATCTGTTTTAGCCATGATTGTACCTCGCAGCTTCCTAAAATACCCTCCTCTCACACCTCCACCGCAGCAACACCCGGGAAGACTTCATTCACGATATACCAGTCTTGATATGAATGTGGCATTGACATTGATATACGGACGTGCCTGCAGGTTAGTGCATATACCTCTGATGCCGCCCATAGCGCATAGTACCCCCTGAAGCTAGACTCACCCTAGGGAGTTATGGGTAGGGAGGTGCATGATCTGACATTCCCGTTCTACCGAAACCATCTGCATATCCCGCAACCAAATGTCGCCCACATAACTCACTGTTTCGGCTATATGTTATCCTGATTATTTGATAATGATTTAAAAACCATAATGTCTGAACCGTACATTGGACTCCGCTTTTAGGTTTATAATTATACAAAGAGTTTTTAAAATAACATTTTTAAGAACGTTTACTATAAGACCTGTTTGCAATGAGATAATACCTTCAGGGTACCTTTGTCCTCTTATAGTGGAAACAGCAACACTGATATTGCACAGACCCCGTAAAGTGGCGAGGCAACCGGGATAACATTTACGGATGTATAGGGAGTGAGTATGGTTTTATGCCTCCTTTTATCAATAATCCAGCAATATCAGGGCGGGGGACCCCGGAAAACGGCTTTACACACTGTTCCCAGCAGGAGAATCAAACCCTGATCTTCGGCGTGACGAGCGAACGCTTTAACCACTCGGCTACCCCATCGCCCCTGGGTATATATTGCTGCAGGTTCGTCTTACCTACAGATGGCGAAACCTGACACGTTTTAACCCCACTGCATGTATTTTGGTTACAATCCAAACCACCAGAAGTTAATGGATGTTCCTGGAAGTCATACATGTACATTCTACATTCACAATCTTACTCGTAGCATAACGTAATGAGTCAAGCTAAATGAAACAGTGTTATGATTCTATGATAGGGACTATACCAATAGACTCCGCCCCCGACACACACACACACCCTCCCACCAAGATAAAGAAAATAGAAATCCAAACAAAAACAACCAACAACAACAGCAAGCCCCCAACAATCAACATAAACAACAACAACAAAACAACCAAAATAAAACCAAACCGAAACCAATAAAAAAATAGAATATATATAAATTAAAATAAGATAAAAAAGAATAATCTTAAAAAAGATAAATAATAAAATAAAAAGATAGTAAAGTAAACAATTCTCAGAAAAACTAGTGTTTGGCGTAGAAAGGTAATTCCACTCTAACAGTCACTTGGGTTTGCCAGACTGTTGGTATCGCTTCTTGGCTTCCTCCAAATCGGCTGATACTGATACACCTTCAGACCCAACACCGCAGTGTGAACATCCTATGTCGTAATAGACACGTCAATGAAGGCCCCACTGTAGTTCATTTGTGATAACCTTTGAAGCACATTTAAAACAAAATGGGAAAGTAATATGAACGTAATCTTACATTTTAAATAACAGCACGAGTCGATTACGTAAGTTTGTCCTAGCGATTTTCGCTAACAGTAATAGCCATTATACTCGCGCAACAGACTACCGTTGGCAACGTCTTCGTGATTAGTAGTTGGTGTTTACGCAAGAATCCACTTCTTATCAACTGTGATATAGACATAAACGGACAAATGTGATTATTATATCAAACTATCACATATTACCCTATCAAAATACACAAGTGGTTAAAACGTGTTAAGGTAAGAGCATGCCACTGTGGGAAATGTTATAAACATATGGTCCGGTAAATCCTTGTTTGAAATGTTGTAAGGACTCTCATATCATCAACTCTCACAATAAACAGATGCTGGAACACCGCGTCTAGGTATGTTCCATTAGCGACTCGTTACGAATATGTTCCACTCAGACATTGATGCAAGTACAGCGTCTGCTGAACGATCAAATTGTGTTTAATGTAGTGTGTTTTGAATGTTGTCGTATGCCGAAGTTGACACTAAATCATGGCATCTTGTAATGTCATTATGAGCCATTGACTTAGACATTCTCAGATGACCGTTAATCACCAGGTCACACTTTGTAAGTAACTAATACTCGTCAGCGACACGAGTGAGTGGGATTTACGCTGCTTTTAGCAATATTCCAGCAATATCACGGCCGGGGACACCTGAAATGGGCTTCACACATTGTACCCATTGTGGAAATCGAACCCGGGTCTTCGGAGTGACGGGCGAACGCTTTGCCCACTAGGATACCCCACCGCCCCACACTGGAAGGGTAAAGAACATTGTTGATTATTGTAAGTAGCGATGCTGAAGGAGCGGTGAGATTGGTCTTAATTAGGATTATATCAGGTTTTCCCACCCCCGATCCGTTTTCTGCAACTGCCTCGCGCCCTTACAATACTTCCATGACCCCTCTCCACATAATACATATCAAGCATCTCACCTTTGTTCACAGCAATACCTTTTTCATTTAAAAAGGTAGAACTGTCATTTTTGCAAGGATGTCTTCTGTGCTGATGAACTCAACTGGGAGCTGTGTTTGGTTTTTTTTGTGTAAGATATTTGTGTTCTCTAAATCTACATCCAATAATTAAATCTGACCATGTTTTTCAGTATTTAGTGAGGTCTTGTTTAACAACAACCGCCTGTGACAACAGATATGTACAAACGGGTGCCATTTTATGCTGAACTGGGGTTGCTCTGTGTCGCTACCTGCACTCGGAAAAGGAACCATTTAAAATAATTATTTTTGTATCTATTGTTGCTTTAAGACCAGACTTTGCACACATGAACGTGTAATATTTGTTGAGGCCTTATTCAATTAAAATAACAACATATACCATTACTATAGAAGTCAGTCAACATTTGTTTCTGTGTTGGGGCGGTGGAGTAGCCAAGTGGTTAAAGTGTTGGCTCGTCACGCCGAAGACCCGGGTTCGATTCCCCACATGGGTACAATGTGTGAAGCCCATTTCTGGTGTCCCCCCGCCGTGAAATTGCTGGAATATTGCTAAAAGCGGCGTAAAACTAAACTCACTCACTCACTTGTTTCTGTGTAGCCTACAGTCCCGATCAGCTGGGATATTGCTGAGTGCGTCGTTAAACAGCAAACCAACAACTGACTGAGGTGATGCATTCATCACTGGCAACGCTATTCTAAAATCTATATGAGTTGCCCAAGGCCGACGATAATTCACTATTTTCACCAATGCTGATCTAAAATCCGCCTGGTGCTGCGTTTATTTTCTATTTAAGAACATCTCTAAATGTTTGTAACGTGTATGTACAACTATCACATACCTGAAATAACCTGCATCTTTAGTACCAACTTTGGGTCATCTGGATTCCCCGAAGCATTGACTGTACGTGTTTCACCAAACCTACAACACCCGGTGTTGAAATGTTCACCTCCCATTTACAAGGTGTTTCCCTTGAGACTGAGGGCGTTAAGTAACGTTGTGATAATACAGACGTATATACGTTACACAATACGTGTCTTCCCACCCCGATATCTACCTGTGTTGAAAGTCATGGCGCCTTGTCAGAACCAGGGCGATATTCAGCGACTACAGCTGCTCTATAAAGGTAGATAAAGTCGCTGATGGTAGCCTACAGCTGTATCCGCAATACTCGTGTAATCTCTGGGAGTGAGTTACGTTTTAACACCGCATCGGCATTCTCTCGATGAGGAATGTCTAGATATATACTATCTACATGAAAAACAATTTTTATAATCAGTCGTGAGGAGAAATGATTGAGATTTTAAGACTTGAACTTCACCTTTTCAAAAAAAATTCCTACAGTCACCTAGAGATGGTAATTACATATATTGAAATGACGATGTAACGGTGCGGTGCGGTGCGGTGCGGTGCGGTTCGGGTTCGGGTTCGGGTTCGGGTTCGGGTTC